AGGCAGGGTTTCGAGACCCGAGGCGCGGCGGGTTAGGGGGGCGGGGAGAGTGCGGGACTCCGGCGAACCCTCCCCCACGAGCGCACGCCCCTGCCCTCACTGGAAAGGGGGCTCTCAGCCCACGATGCCATCTTCCCCCATCCTGGGCATCTTTTCACCGTTCTTCTCAGCAAGGTCCTGAGGGCAAGTATTGTAGCTTCTAGGGCCAGCTACCCGCCCCCCCTCGCAACCCCCCAGCCCTCCGAAGCTCTTGCCCCACCCCCTTCCGTGAGGGGGACCCCGGGGCGGGGAGGCTCTCCTTGGGGAATCTGCCGACCGGTCCCACTGCACGCCCCAGGCCCCGGGTGGCTGTAAACACCCCACCCTGAAGGGTTCGGAGGGGAAAAAGCTCCTCCCAGGCCCCACGGCGCTGAACACAGGGTCCTCACGCCCGTCTCTTTCCCGGTTCCCACCCGCGCCAGGTGACGCGCAGAGCGGAGACCATGGTTCAGCAGGTGCTCTACCGGGCGCTGGTCTCCACCAGGTGGCTGGCGGAGTCCGTCCGGGCTGGAAAGCTGGGGCCTAGCCTGAGGGTGCTGGACGGGTCCTGGTACTCGCCTGGCACCCGGGATGCCCGCAAGGAGTACCTGGAATGCCATGTGCCCGGTGCCTCCTTCTTTGATATAGAGGAGTGCAAGGACAAGTCGTCACCCTACGAGATGATGCTGCCCAGCGAGGCGGGCTTCGCCGACTACGTGGGCCACCTGGGCATCAGCAATGACACACACGTGGTGGTCTACGATGGTGACCACCTGGGCAGCTTCTATGCGCCTCGGGTTTGGTGGATGTTCCGTGTGTTTGGCCACCGCACAGTGTCGGTGCTCAATGGTGGCTTCCGGAACTGGCTGAAGGAGGGCCACCCGGTGACCTCTGAGCCCTCCCGCCCAGAGCCCGCAGTCTTCAGAGCCACACTGGACCGCTCCCTGCTCAAGACCTACGAGCAGGTGCTGGAGAACCTTGAATCTAAGAGGTTCCAGCTGGTGGATTCACGGGCCCAAGGGCGGTACCTGGGCACCGAGCCAGAGCCAGATGCCGTAGGTAGGTGTCCCAGTGGGTGGGATGGTCCCTGGAGAATGAATAATGCCGGATGGAAGGGTGGGGAATAAGGGTGTCTGGGACCCTCTGCAGGTTTCGCCCTCGGTACCTGCTGTGTAGGCCTCAGTTTTTCCATCTGTAAAATGAGAGGACGGAGCCAAATCTAAAGGCTTTTTCCGCTCTGATGCATGCGGACCTCCAGAGGCGGTCCCATAGTCCTGTGCTGACAGGCACCTAGCATCTGTATAGGGTGGCATCAGCAGAGGTGACAGGTGACATATCCACCCACGTCCACACCAGGCACTAGCTCCCCACGTGCCCGAAGGCGTGTCCGTGAGCCAACACCTGAATCACTGTACAGAGGCCTCTCTGTTCCTCAGAAACCCTTGTAGACATCAGCAATGTCCTTCCCCCCGCACCACCCCCTCCAGCTCTCCCAGGCCCCCTGACCTTTCCAGACAGCTGCAGCCTGTCCGCAGAGCTACAGCAGCATCTGCATTTCATGCTGAGCACTTGACATCGCATTATCTCGTCCCACAAGGCGTCATGTCCCCATCTGAGAGGGGAGGAAACAGAGATGCCAGGATATGAAGTTACTCGCTCAGTTACATGGCAGAGTCAAGATCTGAATCCAGTGCTGCCTCGCTTCAAACCAGCGATCTAAACCAGCATGCATGGCTGTTTTGCCCACCCCCACCTTGCAGGATCAGGAGGGAGCCCCCTCCCTAGGCATCAGCAGGGAGATGGCACATGCGTGCTCCCTCTGCTGTGGGAGGTTCTATACTGCAGCGGGTGAGGGTAGTCTCGAGAGGAAATGCAGAGTTCTAGAACCCCCTAACAGACCTCAGAGGTCTTGCCATCACCCCTGCTGGCGTCCTGGACCTCAGTGCTCGTGGGGCCTCTCATGGCCCAGGTGGCCTGAGCCTTCAGGGTGGCTGGCACCTCCTGGGGCAGTGGCTCTGCCCTTGGTCAGGGTGCCTCTGCAGAATCTAACTCCTGCGCAACATGTTGCCTACCTTGTTGAAAAGTGTCTCTTCCTGTCTGTGCCTGGAGGAAGAGAACTCGGAAAGCTGTTTCCAGCACTCTCTGAGCTGGAGGGCCTGAAAGGTCACCTCCTCAGGCAGAAGGGAGACCGAGGTACCCGGAGGGAGGGGAGGGGTCAAGGCCACAAGGCTGGTTAGTGGATGAGCCAGGAGAACGCAGTGTTCCGTGTCCCTGTCGTGGGTGTTTTCCAGGCCCTGTGTTTTCCTTGCCCAGCTTGCTCTCTGAAGGTCCGGAGTTGAAGATTCAAGTTCATTTGGCACCTTCTAGAGACTCCTGGCACGGAGCTCCTGCAGCCCCCTCATGGCCTTGGTTCAAGATGCCTTCTCTCCTTTGGACTTAAGCTGCCCGGGGGTGGGGTGGGGGTGGGGGGTGTAGCTTGTGGAGTTGTTCCCCAGCTGCTTCCCAGCTTGCCCCAAAGCACTGTGAGAATAAGCGAAGGGAGCGTTTAGAGATGCCAGACCCAGTGTCCTCACTCCCATTTTAGAGATGAGGAGACTGAGGCACAGAGAGGCGAAATGGCCTGCTGCATGTGACGCCTCTTGGAAGTCTGGACTTTTCAAGCCCTGCCCCCTGCCCTGTGGCCCTACTCCCACCTCCTAGAGTTCCCATCTGGACCCTGGGGAGCGTGGGTCTTAGTTGAGGTCAGGAACGTGGAAGAGCCTCAATCTAATCGCGCAGCTTCTCTGGGTTCCTTTATTGTAAAACGAGAAGAGTAATGCCAGCCCTGCCCACCTGGGGGTGTATTCGTTTGAAAGCAGCAGTGGCTGGGAGGGTGTTTTGAGAAGGGTGTTTTGAGCAGGCCAGGGCTGTCTAGAGAGGCATGGAGGATGTAGCCCTTTCCTCCCTTACTTTCTAAGTGGCTTTGCTGGCCTTCCTCCCAGACAAGGCCTTTTGGGGACACAAAGGCACACGAGGCTCTGCTGAATTCATGGTCGCCAACTTGGGGTGGGTCAGGGAGGCAGCACGTGGGCTCGGCAGTCCGGATGTAACACCCAGGGGCATGTGGGTGGTGGGCCCTGGGCACCCCTGGAAGGAGTGTCCCCAGGCCTCAGAAACCAAACAGCCACTTCTTGCAAAACCTATGCAAGCAACACGCCCTCTGGCCTAGGTTTTGTGCCCCAGTACCTTTGGTTCTGTTTGTAAGGGGAGAAAAGTGAGAGGCAGACACCGAAGTTTCTATGGGGTGTGGCCCTTGCATGTGGCCTTGAGCACGTCCCTTCACCTTGGAACCCTAATGAAAGGGACACTGCTCACCTTATAGGGGGAGGGGGGAATCAGGTGGGAGCTGAGCCAGCTCTGTCTTTATAAACCCGTTCTCTTTCCCCCCCCTCCCCCTGGGGTGGGGCAAGGCTGAAGAGGGAGGATATTGACCTAGTGAGCACTGTATTTGCAGAGCCTTTATATATGCACAGCAGCCCTGCACAGGGAGGCGGGTGGGGGTTGGAATTGGTCCCACTTTGCAGGTGGGAGCAGAGACCTCTCTAAGGAGGCGGAGTGGCCAAGACTTGACCCCAGTCTGCAGGCATCATAGTGGGGCTGTTTCCCGGACCACTGCGTGTCAGCAAACAGACGGGAGGAAAGGCCCAGCTCTGCGCTGTGGCTACGGGATCCTGTGGCCCTTCTGCCTCTCTCTCTCTCTCTGTCTCTCTCTCTCTCTCTCTGTCTCTCTCTCTCCCTTGAAAGTCTGGGGCTGGGGTGAGGGGGGGGCCGGAGGGTGCTAAGATGCCTCCCAGTGGCCTGGGTTGGGGGCTACCTACTGGTGCTCCTTGCACTGAATTCCTTAGTGCCATGGTCGGCAAACTGCGGCTCGCGAGCCACATGCGGCTCTTTGGCCCCTTGAGTGTGGCTCTTCCACAAAGTATCACGTGCGGGCACGCACGTACAGTGCGATTGAAACTTCGTGGCCCATGCGCAGAAGTCGGTATTTTGTGGAAAAGCCACACTCAAGGGGCCAAAGAGCCGCATGTGGCTCGCGAGCCACGGTTTGCCGACCACTGCCTTAGTGCCTTTAGGAAGAAAGCAAGAAAGAGCCAAACAGGGTTTCCTTGCCTTGAAAACCCACATCTACCAGCCCCCTCTCCCGGAAGGCTCAGGTGGTCAAAGAACACGGACCTGATTTCACACACCTGTGCTGTGTGTCCTGGGGTAAGTTCCCTCACCTCTCTGAGCCTGGACTCCCCATTAGGGCCAAGAAGATAAGGTTCTTGAGGTAGCCCCTTGTTTGGGGGCTCGAGGCGAGAGGTTGTGAGCATGAAGGTTGGGAAAGCTGAGCCTGCAGCTGGAGTTGGATCTGGACGAAGAGCAGCAGGAGCTTCTGGGCCATCACAGTTGACTGTTCTCCAAGGTGCTCTGGGCTGTGTTCACCCTTCCCCCCTCTACACGCACACATGCACGCACGCGTGGGCAGGGCAGGACAGGCAGTTCCTGCTCATTTAAGTTCCTCAGACACACCCCGAGCCCCTGCTGGCAGAGATTAAAAGGGCCCCATCCTCTGACTTCTTCACTCCGAAGAGGTGCCTCTTATGTAATCGGAGGAAAACAATGAAGCTGTTTCAGAGGGAAAAATCAGCATTCAGAACTCAGCAGACGCTTGTGCTTTTAAATGCACTAAATCCAGCCCACTGCGTGGATGCTGGACATTTTAAAGTTGGTTTCTTGGCAAAGAGCACCCTCCAAGCCAACAGATGAAATATTTCTCATTGGTAAGGTCAGCACCACCCAATCTCAGATTAAAGTTGCCAGACAAAAAGATGAAAAAAAAGGTGAAATCAGCACAGGAAGAAATTGCTGTAATTTTATAAGTTGGGCCTCTATTTAATCAAAGGAACTCTTGAGTTGTGCCAGCAAATTTTGGAATCCTCTTTGATCTTGGGTGAGAGGAATGGGACATTGTTGGCATGACCACACCTACTGTGTGCCCGGGGTCATTAGGGTGGGTGGTGAAGTGGTGGGAGCAACAGCATCTGAGGGTGGGTGGCAGCCTCAGTAGTCAGTGCTGCTGTCCTTACAACAGCCCTGACACACCTGACTCCACACGTGACCCATGGGGAAACTGAGGCTCAGAGAAGTGAGGTCACTTGCTTAAGGTCACCTTGCTGGTGTCAGAGCTGGGATTTGAACTTGTTGAAAACCAGGTCATATGCTACTTCCACAGCCATGTGCTTAACAGGAAAACCCAGTGACTGCGATCCTGGGTCTGCCTTTACCTCTCTGTGTGCCCTTAGGAAGCCGTTTTATTAGCCAACCTCAGTACAATCACCTGTAAAATGGAGTCATGTTAAGATTAATGAATTCTGAGGGTGTCTGTTTAACATCTATCATCCTTGCTAGTCCATACTCCCAGAGAGCGGAGCTGAGTCCCTTTCACCTCTGTGTTCTCAGCAGTTGACACAGCACACAGCATTCACATTATCATTTCATTTGGTCTTCTCAACAGCCCTATGAGACGGGCCTGAGCCCATTTTACAGATGAGAAAACTGAGGTTCAGAAAAGAGATACGACTTACCCAAGGTAAAGGTTAGCAAGTGGCAGAGCTGAGACTCATTCCCTGTCCTCTCAGGCAGGTCTGATTTTGGAAATTCCTACCTCAAGGCAGGTTTTCGGAGAGAGGGCACTTTGCCTTAAGTCAGGAGCATTGGATGTAGGTAGGGCCTACATTCAATGCTCAGAGAAGACTATAGGTGAGCTCAGAGAAGAGCAAAGACTTTGTTTATTTGCGAAACACCCTATGCTTATAGCCTCGAATGGTTTTGGCCTCCAGGCCCCACTTGCCCCCACCCCCATGCCGTCCTAACCCTGCCCTTCCCCTTGTCCTCTGCCCCTGCCCAGGACTGGATTCGGGCCACATCCGAGGTTCGGTCAACATGCCGTTCATGGACTTCCTGACGGAGGATGGCTTCGAGAAGAGCCCAGAGATGCTCCGAGCCATGTTCGAGGCCAAGCAGGTGGACCTCGCCAAGCCCCTCATCGCCACCTGCCGCAAGGGTGTCACCGCCTGTCACATCGCCCTGGCCGCCTACCTCTGTGGCAAGCCTGACGTGGCCATCTATGACGGCTCCTGGTTCGAGTGGTTCCACCGGGCCCCGCCAGAGACCCGCGTGTCCCAGGCGAAGGACGGGAAGGCCTGAGCAGGGAGCTTGTCCGCTCGCCCAGAGCTCAGCCGGTTGGTGACTGGCATGACCTGCAGCTGGTTCATAGCTCCCGCCTAGGAGATCTTAGAGTCGCGGGTA